CCGGGAACCTGCGACAGGGACCTCATGTGCAAATGGGATTGTTAAGGACCTCCAGGTGAGGTCATCCTAGAGTAGGGTGGGCCCTCCATCCCATGACTGACGTCCTTATGAGAAGAGATGACAGGGACACAGAAGAGAAGCCACGTGAAGATGGAGTGGAGATGGGAGTGATGCTGCCATGAGCCAAGGAGCTGGGAGAGAGGCCAGGGACAGCTCCCACCGCAGAGCGCCCAGGAGCCAGCACTCCCAGCGCCCTGATTTCAGACTTCTGGCTCCTGAAGTGAAAGACAATACGTTTCCGCTGTCTTAAGCCACCCAGTCTGAGAGAAGTTTGTTACAGCAGCCACAGGAAACCACACACCAATCACAGGAGTTCTGCCAGCTGCTCCAGTGGAAAAGGTCACAGCGACCACTGGGGGACACGCCCACATGCTCCCGGGGATGGACCTGTGGGCGAGCCTGCCACCTCCTCCCTGGGCCTCGTCTGAACCTCTCCTTGTGCCCACCTACCCCGGCCCCCCAAGCTGTAGGAACATGACATGGCAGGTCCTCTGAGCGGGCGCCTGTCAGGGACTCAAACGCTCACTGAACCAACGAGCCCGTGAGCACGAGGCTCCCATTTCCATCTGACATCAGGCCGTCCACCTTGGTCATCAGTGGATCAGACACTCACAGAGTTTGGAGCTTGCGAGGCCAGGTCTCAGCACTGTGCCACCCAAACAACCTGGGGGAAGCTCAGCAGGGCTCCCATCAGGAGGGGGCACCCCACAACCCCCAGAAGGTGCCCCCAAGGATGGCCGCAGCACAAGCTGCCCAGCAGACCTGTCCTCCGCTCCTAGTCCTGGGGATGGTCTCTTCAGGAGCATCACTCCGAGGCTGCTTGTTTGGAGCATCTGTGTTTTGGGTGCCTCAGTTTACCTGTCACTGCAACTAAGCACAGAACTATCTTCTGGGGCTCAGATGGGTCATTCTGCCCCTACAAGAACCAACCCTGCAGCCCTGGCAGCATCCCCCTCGGCCCCACTGCAGAGCGAGCCAGTCAAATCACCCCACCTGGCCGTCAACGGCTGGTTCTGTGGGTGTCTCGGAGCCAGCGCAGCACCCCTGCCAAGCCGGTGCCTACACGGGCACTGATTTCCGCCGTGGTGATATTCTGCTTGGCGCGGGCGATGATGTCTGGGAGCCTCATTAATGACTTCATCTCCTCCACACTCATGTAACAGGGCAGGTCGCTGTGGTAAAAGAAGCGCCTGTCAGACCGACAGCTGCCGCAGACCCACCCCGGAGCACCCAGCCCAACCCCATCCCTAAAGAGCCATCTCCTGGCTACGCTGGGGAGCTCTGCCCTGGGGCGCCCCCTGCGACCTGGGCTCACAGACCCTCACGTTTTATTGAAGAGTATAAGGAC